ATATGATTTAGAAAATGGACAATTTGTTAATTTCCACTTATTGATATTCTTTACAAACAATCTTCAATCACTCTTTTGTATGAAATAAAATAAATTTCTTAAATATCATGCGATATATTATTACATCAAAATATCATTTGTTTTTTGAAACCGTGTCCTGTTTTATAATTCTGGCGTAGTAAAACACTAGTATTGTGTTTTATTCCAAAGACACATGGCAAGTTTTCCATCAAATTCCTTTAATCGACTCAACTAATAAAGGAATTTGATGGAAAACTTGCCACGTGTCTTTGGAATAAAACCCAATACTAGTGTTTACTACGCCATAATCAAAATATCACTTTCGATTTATTATTGGGAATAGGACAACAATTGGGCGAGCTGCCAAGGTGGACAACTTCCTGGTAGACTTTCTATGAGAAATCCGGAAAACTACACGTGGCCAATTCCACGTGGAATACATTACTTCGTCATGGAAACAGATGGGCGCCAGCGCATATAAAATCTGTTTATCCGTATATCCTCTTATCACAAGTTAATTTATTCAACCAGACGTAAAGGGAAAAGTATTTATGCTTGTTTTATTGATTTTACAAAAGCCTTTGACAGCATTAACCAAGAGACTCTTTACAAGATTTTCAAAGTACTAATTAAAGATACGAGCAGAAATACTGAGACAGCTGTTAAAGTATGTGGATAGAGAAGAACATGGCTTAGAATAGAAAAAGAGACTAGTCAAGAGGAGCCAATATCACCGGTTCTATTTATCACATATCTTGAAAGGAGAATGGGCATACTAAAGGAAGAAGCAGATGGAATTTCAATCCATGGTAAGAGGATAAACTCAGATTTGCAGATCATTTGGTTATTTTGGAAGATAACAGGGAAAAACTGCTTGAATCCATTAACAAACTGAAGAATGAAGGTCCACAAATGAATTTCTCAAAAACAAAAATAATGGCTTTTCCAAAGAAAACACGATCAAAAAGATGTCTTTGAGATCGATGGAAAACAGTTGGAAATAGTGAAGGAGTACATCTATTTAGGAAATAAGCTCGTATCAAACTTGGACTGCTGCAGAGAAATTAAGATTAAAATTGCCCAAGCAATGACAATAATCAAGGGAATAGAACAAATATGAAAGAGTAGAGAGATGTCTGAGAACCAAACTCAATGTTCTTGATACCTGCATTCTCGATGACGTGTTGTATGAATGCGAGAAGTGGATCATAAAGAAATCCATCACAAAAAATAATCTTGGCCTTCGAAAGGAACTACTGCGAATAAACTGGTCAGAGAGGGTCAAAAACGAGGAAATGTATCAAAAAGTCTAACACAAAGAAACCTTTATACAGATAGTAATCAGAAAGAAGTTATAATTATTTGGGCACATATGAAGAATGAACCCAGAAAGAGGATTAAACACGTGAAGGAAACTCAGAAAAGTTTAGAGCTAACCCACGACCAATTCCCACTGTTCAGTGGTTTTCCTTTGTCCATCCCAAAAAAAAGGAACTTTAACAAAATAAATTTCGTTTAGAATAAATTCCATTGAATCCTGGCTTAAATTGCAGATAATCCTTCATAATTCAGAATTATAAAAGACGTTTTGAAAAATTAAAATTAAATTATTTACATTCTTAATTTTAAAAAATGGCGTTCACTTGAACACCAAACAAAATGAATAATGGTCGAATTATTAAATATTTTAATTAAAAAATTTATTTACAGGATTAAAATAAATTATTGTAAGAATATTTAAATTTAAGATAAAAATAATTATCCAGAAAATAGTCATTTACATTCAAATTAATCGATATTTAATTAAGATGGCAAAATTTACATAAGTTCAGTGGCACAACCCTTAAGAGTACTTCTTTAAGTGTGGAAGAAGTGGATTAATTTAACAATTTTAGTGTTTTAGATGGTGATTTGATTTTAAATTTACGTGCAAGTCAATATATTTCGTTAATTTTTACATTTTTAATTACATTTCAATCGAAGTTTCTAAGGATCTATCATTACATCAACTAAATCATGGAAGAGGAATCAACTAGTGGGTGTGAAGTGTGTTGTAAGTATATTTGTATTCTTGTAATTATAATTGTTTTTATGTTGATTAAGTAAACTTTATCTTCAGCCGGAGATTATTATTCAGGGAGTTCTGATTCTGATGAGTATGTGGACTGTGAGAGGCAATGTCCAGTATGTTCAGAATGGCACACTTACTTTCCAGGTAAAGCTTGTCCCGGTTGTACAGAGTTTTTCGAACAATGCGTGAGAAACTTTGAAGAACCAATTTGTTATACGAGTGAAAACTATTGCGATAACAAGAATCAAAAACGTTATTGCAACTGTTGTCGATTGAACAGATGTTACAAAGTGGGAATGAGAGTAATAGATGTTTATGGTACGTAGTACTTTAATGGAAGATAATTTCTTTCACTTAATAATGACATACACGTTTCTAACGACAGAATACCTTGATGACTATATAAATGCTCTTCGAGTAAGGTTAAACGAAGGATGCCAGGTAAAAACATTCTTATTTTCAATTCGGGGTAGCGGGAAACTGTTAAATTCGTGTTCTGTTAGGTTTTTTTTTCTGTATTCTACAAAGTTGTTTTTCAAGATATTTTTTTGTTTACAATGCTGTTTTTAGGGGAGGAAACTTGACAATGGAGTAAGGTGGATGAAAGCACAAGAAGAGTTTTATGACCTTAGAGATAGTTTTCATAATTGGATTTGTTGTTTCAGCGACTTTCAAACCCTGCGAAGATGCGATCAAGTAAGAATGTTATGAAATTTTCTTTCCCTGTATCTTCATTAATCTTGTGAAAACCCCCACCTATAGAACTTTAATCTGTTTACATATTAAATTCTCCATTACTGGGGAGTTAAAATCTTTATTTACCCCTTCCACCTTTTAGTGAAAACAAAGCTGAGATTTAAACAAAATTCCCTTCTGGAATGAGTTTTTTAAGTTTACTGCTTAAGAATGATGATGGGTTTTATCTGATGACGAAACCTTCCTTTTTCCTAATGGTTTATTTTTAATTTTTGTAGGTTAGTTTAAGAGAAAAATATAAATACAGAGGACTTATAATGGAAATAGTCCAACAATCACTGGAAGCGCACATGGTGCTGAGATTTGAGAATTTCTTCTGGAATCCTCTCAAATATCACAGTTCCCTCATCATCGATTTAATTAGCGGTATTTTAAAACTAACGCTGAAACTGCGCCTTTGTTACTATGATGGAGCAGACATTAATAAAATGAAACTAAAGTTAATATTGAGGGACGACGGTAAGTAATTATTGAAAAATATATTTAAAAAAAAACATTTTCTACGAAATCTAATTCTTGTACACACGACAGACTTCAACGTTGAGTTAGGTAAGCTGGAAAATGATAACTTAACAGAGTTAAAGAATATGTTAAATGATATAGAAGAAAAATTTACAGAAGCATCAAAGCATTGTCTGGAATTCTGTTGTAAGTTATGTTTTTGCTTGTTTTTTACTTAAAAAATTTTTCAATTCCTGTTCGATAAATTGGGAAATTTGTCTAAAATGTAGTTAATTTTTAAAAATACACTTTTTTTATTTATAGGACGAGTACGACTTTTAGAATTATATATATATAAAACGTAATATACGTCTGTAAAATGTAAATGGAACCATTCAACTTTTAAGAAATAATTGTAATGTTTTCAAATTTATATATGTATATGAAATGCTATTGTTTATTTTAACTTGTGATAGTACACGTGGTAGAAATGAAATGAGACGAGAAATTAAATGAGCTTCGTTCAACCTTTTTAACTGCTTATTCAATGAACTCCATTGTACATGTTTACTTGAATAAATTTTAAAAATTCACGTGTACATTGTGTAGACATTTTTAATGTAAAATAAATTTCCTACTTGTTTACTTTGAAACAAATCCTTGACATAAATTAATTAATCTACATCAAATCGGAGGTGAAGTCTTTGATGGAAAACTTCCATCAAACACAGCAAAAGAATGCTGTAGCATGATATGAACTATGAAAGTCTAATAAAAAAAAAAACTAAACTTCTCATTGTCTTGTTAAATTTTAATATCCGTGATATTTTATATAAAATTTTGAAAAGCCCTGTGCTCCTACGAATGTCTTCCTAGTAGGTAATCCTGTGTTACACAATAATCCAGTGGTTCTTAACTAGTGGTGCAAAGATTCCCAAGGGGTTTGTAGGAAGTCCGTTTTCAAAGGGTCATTTGACTACACCACGCGAAACAAAATAGGTTAAGAACCCCCCTATATTATAGCTGGACGGACAGTTTAATCTAAACAAAGACACTAAGAACAAGTCTTTAGTACTCGGCAAAAGGGCACTTTGCTTTATAACTTTCAGGATCCTGGAAAATCATTTGAAATGTAATTTAAGTAAATTGCATAAGATTTGAAAAAAAAAAATTATACGAAATCCTTGCACTCAAATTTTGAGGAGGCATAAAATCTCGACACGTGCGAGCCTCACTGGGCACGGGATGACCTAAGTATCTGTTATCTGGAATTGAGTGATGAATCGGCAAAATGTGATGGCGAATCAAGTACGAGCGTGATGAAAGAGGATGCTATTGAAAGGAAAGTCACACCCGGGAACATTAAACGCGGAATTTCTCAAAAGGAAAAAACATGGCACGATATCATAAAACTTTACGCTTTAATTTAGAATAATTAATTCCAAATTTCCGTTTTTATCGTTAATTATATTCGGAAAAGAAATAAGTAAATAACCATTTTGTAAATCACGTATACTGCAGGAAATTTTAACCACAAGTTTCCAAATTGCCAATGAGTAGTTTTATTTCCGTTTAAAACACTTAAATGACACTTGCAAAAGCAAAAATAATTTATTTTAGCAGGTAAAAGATGTACTACAGTATCGATTTAAAAGTATTTATATAAATATAAGTAGTAAAATAATAAAAACTATTGAATTCTCATTGATTATCAAGCAAGAAACTAAACTGCACATCGAATTTTTTGCAGATATTTGCATTTAAATTCTCAATTTTCTTTCTTCCAAAAGATTCAAGTGTGAGAATCATTCACGAAGTAGAAAGAAAAATGATTTTAGCTCCCACTTTCAAGGCATTTTATACATTCCACGTTGAATAATTTCTTCACTTCTGACATTTTTACTTCTAACGAATCTAACATTATTGATAACGACGACAATTCATCATCTTCGGCATCACTTAAATCCACGTTGATATCTGTCGTGTATATAAAAAAATTATTTAGAAATTCTTCAGGTTTTAAAATGTTTCGGCAATTGCTTACCGTCTTTTAGAATTAGTTTCAGTTTCATCCTATTCAAATTTTCTACGGAACTGTACTTCTGCTGTAGTTTTAACGTCAATGTTAAGATACCTCTCATTAGCTGTGTGATGTCATTTCTTTCGTATTTCGTAGGATCCCAGAAGAAAGTGTGGAAATTCAGTACCATATGAACGTGTAGCGATCGATCGACTATTTCCATTATAGTTCCTCTGAGTTTGTATTTTTCTTTTAAAGTCTCCTGTAAAAATCAATAAAAATTCTTATAAAATCCTGTAAACAGTAATACTGATCCCTGTATTAATCTATTACTACTGATCCCTGTATTAAAATCTATTAGAAAAATATTTAATATATGCAAAATCTCATATTTTGATGATCTAAAATTTTGGTTTCTTCAGTAAAGAGGGGAGGGGAATTCTTGATTAAAAAAGAACGCGATTTCCTTCTTACATTACAAATTAATTTTTACAAAATAGAAGCCAAGAATATTCTTACTTGAACGTCTTCACTTAATGTTTGAAATTCGTACATTTGAGAAATCCATTCGTTGAAAGTACTTTCAAAACGAAGAAACTCGTGATTTGCCTTCAACCATTTTCTATCATCATCCGATTTTTTATTCTGGAAAAAGAATTTTTTGGCTTATAAATATACAAATTTAAAAAAAAAATATGCAGAAATTCAACAACAATACGGGCACTTTTCTATTCGTAAAAACATTTGTTTAAATGAGACGTTAACAAATCCTTCGAACGACTAAAAAAGGATGCTTCGGATGAAGACCTTTTATCTATTTGATCTGGGAGAAATTAGTGTGTTTTATATGAACTAAGTATCAAATAAAGTAAAGTACAGTATCTACTGTTGCTACTGTTCTTTCATTTCTAACGATAACTAAGATTTACCTTAAATTCTTCGCTCAATCTTAATTGTATATCTTTATAATAATCTTCCAGATCTTCTGCAAATAGAAAAATGACACAGTTAAAACATGAGAAATAAAATATTCGATTAATGTATATACAAACCATAAGCATCCATGGCAGTCATTCCAATTTTGTAACAGTTCATCAATCGACAGTAACTACAAGAAAGGATACATATACTGTCGCAGTCTCCTTCGCTCTCACAAATCGGATCGTCGAAATGTTTTAAGGAGTGAAGGAAGAAGATTTCACAAATACGGCAAGTTTTCTTGTTGGATTTAATCACTTTCATGCATACCGAACACATATTAACTCCATTAGAAACTGGAAAACTATCGTAATTGTTAAACAATAACTTTTCAAGTCACGTAAATTTTACCATACTTACAATCTCCAGGTGCTTGAACGAAATCATTTGGCTGCTCTTCCATACTTTATAAACTTACGTTCAATATTTTAAATTGAACACTTGATACTTGAGTTTCAATCTGGATTTATAGCAGCTTAGATTTCAGATGCTCCCTTTCGAATACCTTTAAGGATCTTGCCATTCCCACTTTATGTAAATTTGCCATCTTCGATATTTATTATTTGTCCTTATTAATCTTTTTAATAATAATCTTTTACAAATTAAGTTAATTTATATATATTTCTATGTATTAAAAATATAAATAATTTATTTGTAATTTTTTAAAACGTATCTTTCACGTCACTTAACATTCAAATCGGAGGCATCTTCGTAACACGTGGGCAATCTCTTCTCGTCAAATCGCTCACGCTTCGTGGATATACCTCCAGAAGGGACTTTCTATGAGAAGTTGGCCCCTATTTACGTGTTACAAACGTGAAGGGAATCCGGAAATATCCCAACACACGGATGAGAAAAAATTAAATAATCTCCGCATGGTACCAAAAAGAGTAATCATTCCTGGAGTTGTGGATGCAGCGTGGACACCAGCTTAATTTAGATTACGGGATTTAATATTTTATTATGTTATGAATTTTCTCTTTGCATATTTCNCTCATTGGCTGTAGCTCACCGACTGCTCCGACCCGACTACAAATATTTAACTTTTCAAATCTGTCCGACTGGAACGACTAGTCGGTCGGCAGACTGCTGTTGCCATGGCAACACGACTTGGAGTCCCGCCAGTCGGTCCAGTCGGTCATAATGTGAAACAGCCCTTATACGTGTAGCATCCACTCGAGGTCCTGGGCTTCCACCGGCTAAACCAGGTTAGGTTGGTACTCTGTAAAGCGCGTGTGCGAATCTGGCATTTTGGATGCTGACAATGCAGCGCTTCCACTCCGTCACTGATATTCGAATATACAATAGCGATCTTATCTTTTTTTCACGTGTAGTATAGAAATTTGTAATAAGATACATAATGTGGTTATAATAAAATATTGTGCGATTATTTTCGTATAATTAAAATTAATATGTATTTATTTTTTAGAAAATACAAGGGAAGAGGCGCATCCACCGCTTCCAATGACGCACGCCACTGAAACAGAGTATCAAACATTGTGTAAACTTCAAACAATGATTCAACGTTCGATCATCGCTTCCACGAGGTGGCGCTGATCGGACGAGTGCAACCAGCGCCACCTTGTGGAAGCTCTGGACGCAATCGTGGCTAATTGGAAACTGTTTTTATAAAGTTATGGTAAAGAAAAATGTTACAATTTGTATCCAAAGGTAACTTTTTAAGTGGATAAAATAGCGTCCAAAGAACCGTTATTTTGGAATTTCTTATACGGGATAATTTGTTACGCGGGGAATTTTAACACACATTTTATGGTGTAAATACTGAGACAGGAAAATTTGGACTTCTTACAAGTTAGACGGGAAAAAACTTTTATTCTGGAATTCTTAAAAGGGTTCTACTGTATTTGAATTCGGTTTGCAGTTTTTTTTTTTTAAATAATTTTTACTTAAACTTTAAAAATAAACTAAAAATATACTTCACGCGTTTTTTTTCCTGTGTAGGAAGCAATATGTTTACCCCATTTCATCAAGATTTCTGTTCTAATTATTAGAATAAATAACTGAAATAGTTTTTCGTTCTCATAAATACGACATTGATATTTGATATATTTTCTGCTTTATTTAATACAAGCATAGTTACAAAAATCTCATCATCTTAATTTTAAAATGTTAGGAATATTTTGATTTACTTTTTAACGTAACTTTCGATAATATTTTCATTTAAAATACAAATCAGTTTTGCACTTATTGAAAATTTGCATACGAACAAAGCTATAGAAACGTTAAATGCACTTCTATAAAAATGATTGCACATTACGTTGAACTCCTTTATAAAGCATTTAGAAGGGAATAAGTAAGTTTTCGTGAGATTTTTTTATTTAAAAAATAATTCTTTAATTATAAAATTCTTAAATTTTTACTCGAAGAATACCGTAAAAATTCCTCTTGACTCTCGTCACCTTTCGTGATTTGTTCAGAAACCATGAGTGAAGGACTCGGTGCCCATTGTAGCAAAGACGATGGAAGTAAACTTTAATAATTTTTTAAAAATTTAAATAATCTTCAGTCAGTTTATTTTTTAAAAAATATATTTTGTAACACAGATGAGTACATCGGACCATGCGCGGTTTGCGGTGAGAAAGAGGCTGTGATTTGCCAAGGGGTGAAGATTTGTATGGCATGTAAGGTTCTATTCGATTATGCTGTAAGAAGTTTTGATGATCCCATGTGCCACAATAAAGGATCTTGCGGCGATGAAGATCCGGAATACATCTTCCTCTGTAATTTCTGTCGACTGGACAAGTGCTACAAAGTAGGAATGAAGTTTATCGATCATTACGGTTTGTACAGCCATTTTCTGATAATAATTACACAAGTGTCGAGAATAATAAAGTGTTTACTCCCTTTTTAATAGAAGATATAAAATATTTTTATCGTGATATACAGATAAGATTAGCTAGCGAACATAGGGTAAGTGAATTTTTAACCTTTTGCATCTCGTTTTACCATTTAATGTTTAATATAGCTGATTAGCGTGATTTTTGTATTTATTGGGCTTATGTGTCTTTTAAACTGCTTCCAGTACAGTTGGATAAATATGCCAATAAAATAGCCCGTTTCAAATGAATCTGCATTGTTATTAATCTGCTATACTGTAATCTGAACAGTGTGTTAAAGCTAAGCACTCCTATTATCCGACTTCTAGATACTTAAGGTTATACAGTAGGTCGCTCTAGTCCGAACAGCTTCTACTAATTCCTAACTACTGTAAATTGCCAACTAGACACTTGCAGCTCACGTGTAAAGTAAATACAGATCACGTGTTGTGAGCATTGCTGCTCATTCTTCTGTGATCCTCTTTGACTAAAAAATAATTCTACAACAGTAAAAACAGACAAATGGCTTCAAAGCGTAAACATCATATCATATCCTTAATAATCACACTTCCCGTTAATCCAATATACCACTAATCTCAATCATTTCGGATTAGCGCGGCCGTACTGTATATTATAATGTAAATTTGCAGTATGTTGTGTGTACACATTTTATATATATATGTTTTGTAGGTTATTAAACGTGATGAAGACGATAAATGGGAAATTTTAACTAAAGAATTCTCGAATCTTAAGCATTCTTTCCTCCGTTGGATTTCTCGACATCCTGAATTTCAGAAACTAGATGATGATGAATTTCAAGTAACAACTCCTTTTTTTCTGATAATTGAAATTTTATGCTGATGCCGTGCTTTTTAATTTTAATGTATACGTATAACAACCGCATTAATATAATCTCATAATGATAAATGTAAAATTTATCGCTGTAGTTTAAACAGGAAGAGTTCCAGAGACCTGTGTCGCTCCTCTTCTTTAAGGGACCAAATAATTACAGGATAGAAAATTTGAACGTGACAAACGTCATTGTACACCTATGTATACAATAAAGAGAATACTCCTCTCATCCACAGTGGCACCCCTTCCATCACCACTAGTTTGCCCCATTGTAGGCATGGTCGAACCCATAACGGGCTTGCTAATTGAGGCCCTCTTAGTGCCCATAGGACGCAAAGAGTTTTAAAAAAGTCCACAGTGGCACAATCGGTCTGCACGTTCTAATTCGAACTCCTTTATCTAGAATTTATATTAAATTCTCGGAAATTTTGTTCTATAATTTTCTCCATGGTTTTAATAAGGAACTTGTCTTTTTGCAAGTCTCTCGTGAAGAGAAGGTACGACGACAGAGGGTTAGTAATGGAAATAGTGGACCAATCGTTTGACGTCCACTTGGTTTTGAAAATAGGCGAGTGCTTTTGGGATCCATGGAAATACGAGAGTAAAGAAATCACTACGTTAATGTGCGATATTTTAGAGTTAACTCTGCGACTGAGAGATCATTGTGAGTCGAGGGAGCAGTTTTATAATCTAAAGTTAAAATTAATAATGAGAGACGGTAAGTAACTTTATTTTTTTCAAAAACGTTTACTTCTTACTAAAACCCTGATTTTTTTTTTCTTTTGTATATTTATATGCAGATATCGAAATGGAATTAAATGAAGACGATAGAAGAGAAGTGGAAGCGTTAATACCTCTTTTAGATAAAATAGAAATAGATTTAAGGATGCTAGTTAGAAAGTTATGCCCGGAAAAACTGTAGATACTTCATAACTTGTATTGTAATTAGATTTTTGCCATTTAAAAATGAGCATTGGTTTAACCTGTTTCTCTCCCTCTTTTTTTTACTCGCATTAAACGTTGTATAAAGTGCACAATGTACTGTACTGTACGCCATTTGTTTTAACAATGACATCAATTGGATGTAAGAATGAACATGCTCCTATAAACTTCGTGTCTGAAACCTGTTCTATGAGCTACGTGGCCAATTTCCCTTCCCATAGAAAGTTTTCTTCCGATTAGACCATTCCAGATCGCCCACCTATTGCCTATAACAGTGGTTCTCGATCTCTGGGAGATCGCGGTCCGATAAACTCTTTTATAAGATGAAGACTCTAATATAAATGCCTTTCAAATCTTGTTGGTATAAAGTTCATACATTAAAGTGACATTATGATTATGCCATAATTATTAATCCTTGTGTATTAGTATACTTACGCATACATTGACAACTCGGATGGCGTGTCTTCCGTTTGGATCTCTCAACTGCCCATTACGCAACAGATACAGTTTGAGGAAGACGAAGTTTCTTACGTCAGCAAAGAAAAGAATGTTGCAAATATTCCTCAGCTGGGTCCAATTAAAAGACTGTGGTACCAGCCAAAAAAACGCTGGTACCAGAATTTAGAAAAGCCACAGATTGCATTCCAGATTATACAATTTACAGGCAGAAGAAACGAATTTGATCAATTATGTGTTTCTGGATAATCAGACTAAAACGAAGAGTTTGAATTTTGTTTATTAGGGGGATTTGTGCCATTAAACTTTGGTTGTTAAAGGCCAAAGGGCTAGGAGATGAAAGGGTTTCGTTTATCGTATTCCGAGTTGTGTCAGAGTTAATTATTTTATTCATTATTAGCATCTACAATTTCTTTTTATAAAACATATAATTCAAGCATTTTTCCATTTTATAAAAGTTTTTAATAATAAATTATCATAACAGATGGCGCCACGCATGTGTTAACTTTTTTCCGGAAAGTTACACAATCGTTACCGGAATTTTTATACGTAAATGTGAATGGCAAAGAGTGGTTTCAATATGTTCATCGCCAGTTTAAACACAACAGAAGTGTTATTTCACCGAAGAATTTTCCTTCAGTCAAAAAAGTTACGTTTCGAGAAATATCCGCTAGAGGCGCGCTCGTCATTATGTAGGTCATTTTAATTTTTTTAAAATAAAATTTAAAATTTTTAAACAAAAAAATATTGAATTTAACCCATATTAATCGATATTAATACAATGTTCGAACTCTTGATTGGTGGTAGAAAAAATCCAGTTCTGTTTCTGGAACTGTTTGAACTGACAAGGAAATAAGTGAGTTTTCGTGAAATTTTTTAAAAAAATAATTCTTTAATTATAAAATTCTTAAATTTTTACTCGAAGAATACCGTAAAAATTCCTCTTGACTCTCGTCATCTTTCGTAATTTCTTCAGAAACCATGAGTGAAGGACTCGGTGCCCATTGTAGCAAAGACGATGGAAGTAAACTTTAGTAATTTTTAAAAATTTAAATCCTTTTTTGTCACTTTATTTTTTTTAAATACATTTTGTAAGGCAGATGATGAGGAAATTGGACCATGTGCGGTTTGTTATGAGGAGGAACGGGTTGGGATTTGCCAAGGAGTGAGAATTTGCGGTACATGCAAAGTCAGATTCGATTATGCTATAAGAGATTTTTATGATCCAATATGCTACAATGAAGGAGTCTGTGCAAATTCCAGATTAATCTTCCTTTGTGAGTACTGTCGACTGAACAGGTGCTACGAACTGGGAATGAAGTTTATAGATCAATACGGTTTGTAGAGCCATTTTCTGATTATTACTCTCGATACTTGTGTAATTATTAAATGTTTACTCCCTTTAATTGAAGATAAAAATTGCTTCTATCGTGATATACAGCTAAGATTAGCTAGAGAACATGGGTAAGTGTATTTTTAAATTTCTGTACTACCACTCGGTATTTAATATAGCTAAGTATGTTGTAGTGTCTGTATTTATTGGTCGTGTGTGTCTGATAAACTGCTTTTAATACAGGTGGATACACATACCAATAAAATAGTCTTTTTTAAAGGAAACTGGCATTGTTGCATTTTTACTAGTCTGCTGTATTGTGTGAACAAGGTGCGTCTTGCTGTATTAGAGCCGCTTTTTCAGGCAGCATTCCCATTTACGTGGTTCCTAGATAATTAAGATTATATTTTATAATGAAAGTTTACATTTATATACATTTTTCTAACGTTGCACTGTGTGTATTTCTTTGTAGGATATCAAAGTAGATGGTGAGGATAAATGGGAGATGTTAACTAAAGAATTCGTACCTCTTAGATATTCTTTTCTCAGTTGGATTTCTGGACATCCCGAATTTCAGGAACTAAGACCTGGATTTCAAGTAAAAACTTCTTTTTTTATTCTCACAATTCAAACTTTTTGCTGTATATGATGCTCTACTTTCATTTTATGCTGAAGTTAATTACGCACATTAAAATTAAAATGGTTAAGAAACTCGTAAACCTAAAATTATCATCTCGATAGCGTAAACAGGAAGGGTCGCCGCCATTTTAATTAAGAAAATTACGTGAATGTAGTAAAGCCGTTGTATACGTGTATACTGTATAACATACGTAAGAGCTTATCCACAGTGCCACAGGAATGAATATAAGTTTGCACGTTGTAATTTGGGTTCCCCGATATCGATTCTTCTAGTTACGGCACTGGTTTATCTTCGAAACTTTAATATTTTAAGCAGAAACACATAAATTTACAACCCCTTTTTTCCCTACTGATTTTTACTAAGGAGAATGTCTGTCTTTTGCAAGGACCTCACGAAGCAAAGATACGTAGTCAGAGGGATGATAATGGAAATAGTGGACCGATCGTTTGACGTTCACCTGGTTTTGAAAGTTGGCACGTGCTTTTTGGATCCTTGGAAATACGAGAGTAACGAAAAAACTGTTTTAGTGGGTGACATTTTAGAGTTAATGCCTCTTTTAGATAAAATAGAAATCGATTTATTAATACTGATGAGAAAGTTATATTCTGAAACCGTAAATACTCCATACATTGTAAGTAAATTGTGCCTTTCATAATATACATACANTGTATTCATTAATTTTCATTTTCATGTAGTAAAGGCTCTATGCCTTCATAAAAGACGTACTTTTCCTTTGTTTAAGGGTATTTGGGCAGTTTATTCTCTGTTGTATTCTCAAGTAAACAATACATACAAGTACAGTACAATATTTTCTGAGGAAACACTCGTACTTATTTATTATAACCCCATTCCCGATAACCCGGCATTTTCACAAACTCGGCCATCTTTCGGTCCACATTAGGCCGAGTTTTCGAGGCTCTACTGTAATACTGTATTTAAAAATTAATTAATTTTGAGTACTGTACATTAAAAAAATATAGAGAATGTAATTTAAAATACTTCTTTTTAAAAAAATATATATTTTATTTCTATAATAAATACAGATACATTTTACTATAAGAGAATAACCTATCTAAAGAGGACACATTGAAAAGCAGAAACCTTTCTAACGCTTAAAAAAGGAGACGTTTGAGTACCGATTCTATAATATAACCTGAACAAAGTGGAATTTTTCCGCATGCCAGCAGCTTAATTATAAATTATAATTTAAAAATTCTTTCCTCTATGCGTCACATACACGTGTTTCGGTATTTTCTTCTCATCTTCCAAACAAAACACTTACATTAGAGAAGAAGCAGCTATAAATACCTGTATAACATCTTTTCATTTGTTCTACGTTAATAAAATAATCCTCATTGTGCCGGTCTGTGAACGGCTCACGTATTTGTAAAATCTAAGTGACTCGTACAACATGGAATTCATATAAAACGGAATTATGAACAATGTTATAGGGGCAGTGGCATAGCGAACATAACTGGCGCCCGGGGCACGACACTTTATTGGCGCCCCTCCCCCTCCATAAACACATATAGTTTGTCTTGGAGACCATTTGGGCGCCCCTCTGCGAGTGGCGCCCGGTGCATGATACACCCCTTGCACCCCCTTCGCTACTCTACTGTATAGGGGGGTCGACTGTACTATAAGAGATATACGAATTTACACGGCAAAAGGCATTGTTATCTTTACAATATATAATCCTCATTTTTGAGGTACTTCAATATAACGCCATACTCGACTTAGTATCAGTTTTCAAGGAAGAAATCGTGGCGTTAAATTGATGTTTCACGGTACATTAAATAATTTATATACAGTATTATAAATTTTTTATTGTATAAAAATACTTATTGTTACCGATATTATTTTACAGGTTATTATATACGTTAAGCGGATAATATTCTAACAGAATATCGGAATTAAAAATGGCAGTTCCTATCTTTTTTAAAATTCTGGGAATATTCCTTATCGTATACTTAATTTTCTCAAATTCTTCTCTGAATCTGGACTTCAAACCCGTTTCCTATAAGTAAGTAAAATTCTACTTATTACTTTAGCGTAGGCATAAAATTCCTATAAATATTTTCCCCACCATATTCTTCTCAAATTAAAATTTTTCCCACTATTCTTTTCTGGACACTATCTTTTACAGCTGAAGGTTTGAAGTCATTAAACTATTCCTAATAACTATTAAGTTATCTCACTTTAAAGAATGTATTACTGACGTAAAACGGGGATGCCTGTACAGTAATATCATTAATAAGACTATAAACTGAATACAATCAAACCTCTGAACAACGGCCACTGATATGAACATAAAAAAAATATTAAGTTTTTTTTTTTTTTAACTTTCCACCTTGCGTGTTCTATGAGGACCTTTCTAGCAAGCCCATTATGAGCTTGCTTAAAAAATGGTCCTCTTAGAGCCCGCTATAAAAGGCCCTTTGGCCAGGTGGTAAGGGATGGGGGCAACGTTTCCCGACAGATCACTCCTGAAAAATCTCTTTCTCGATCCATTCCGTGTCTGCTAGAGCGTAGATTGCCACGTTAACTACTCGGCCATCTGACCGTTAAAGAAAAAATATTCGGAAGTGGCCGTTGTTTGGAAGTTTTTTTATTGCATTTTTGTCTAAAAAGAGCTTCTGAAAATGGCCGTTGTTACAGGTGTTTTTTTTTTATTGAGAGATGGCCACTATTGAAGATTAGACTGTACAACGAAACAGTCACAGACAATAGCTATATTTATTATACCTGTGCTAATTGCATAAATGGTAATGCCGTAGTAATTTTTTCAAGTTCCTAAAACTTGAAAAAATAGTCTCGGGTACCGGAAACACAAAAATTTCTACTCAGAAACTCTAGTAATAATATTTTTTGTATTATGTTACTTAATTATTTAAACTGCCTTCTTATAAATCAGAATATAATATTTATCAAGTTATTATTTTATGTAGAATTTCGCTTCCAAAAGCGTTTGAAGGACCCTTAACTGTAAACAATAATTTGAGTGACGCGGAACATATTTTTGAAGGACAAATAACGAAACCAGAATCGCTTGCTCTTCTAAATGGTTAGTGTTTTAATTCAATTATACATTTACAAAAACAAAACAAAATTATTTATATTCTTATTCCATAAGTAAATATTCAAATACAGTAGACCCCACTATAACACTGTAGATAAATTCCGTGTTATATGAATTCCATGTTGTACGAGTCACTTAGATTTTACAAATACGTGAGCCGTTCACAACCCGGCACACGCATTTGTAAAATCTAAGTGACTCGTACAACATGAAATTCATATAACACGGAATTATTTACAGTGTTATAGGGGGGTCTACTGTATATTAAACATTCAGTATTTATAATTACAAAATTGACTGGAATTTTATTTGGCTATAATATGGCTAATTATTTATTAAGATACTAAATAATTTGCTCTATAGATAGGCGATTATGTCGTCATCTGGTGTTAAATATAATTATTAGAAATAAATAAATAATATTTTTAAATCAAATTTAAAATATAGGTATTTGAATGATTTAAGTAATGAATATTATTTTTTATTTTTATAGGAGTTATTTATACAGGAATATCAGATGGAAGGATAGTCAAAATAGAAAATAATAAAATTTCAACTGTAGCGCAGATTGGAAACAAATGCGGTTAGTAATTAATTTAAACATTTTAATTGTTAAACTCATAACTTAGTTTTCAAGTTTAATTAACTTTAATTAGAAGGAATATGGGAACAACATAAATGTGGCCGTGTCTTAGGCTTGAAATTCGATAGTAAGAACAGACTTCATGTAGTCGATGCGTATTATGGAGTGTATGTTATTGATATACAAACAGGTACGTTTATTGTTACTTTACTTCTTTAAATGTTGCTGTGACTTATAATACAGATAATTTATTTGTTACTTTAGGTAAAGTCACTTCATTACTAAAGTCGTCAGCCATAATTGATGGAAAACAATTGGTCTTCATTAATGACGTTGCCATCGATGATGATGGTATTATATACATAACAGAATCAAGTAATCGATGGCCATTAAGTAGAGTTTTGTACGTAGTCCTCGAACACGAAAGTACAGGACGGTAAATATGACTTTTTAAATTATTTTTACCTTGAAGGCACTAAGATCATTCATCCGTGTCCATCGTGGATTCGGCCAGATCCACAATGGGGGCGGTGAGGATCGAGGATTGACTGATTCAGGTCAGAGCACCCGTGAAAAATTGGGAGGATGCATGCCTGAAGTCGATCCCGGGACCCTCAGAGCAGACACTTTAACTGTCTCGGATATTCGGCTATCCAAGGTAATTGATATCAAATTAGCATGGATAAAATGTGAGAAAATTAGAAAAAACAAAACCCTTCTATTGTATTTGTGTTGTCATATAAATTCAAATAAATGAAAATACAGTATTGTAAATGCCAATTTTATTATCCGTGCTTTTTGGGTTACCAGGCTTATCATACGAGATTCCACTGTATTTATACGCCAAAAACTAAAATTTTTGGTTGTTTTGGGCATATTTTTTAATTGATGCTATGAAGAAAGTGCAATTCACTGAACGATTAATAGATATTCGTGTTAATTATAATAATAATCTAATATTATAATAAATAAATTGTATACATTTCAGAGGGGCGGATTTGTGGGCAGGTATCCTAGGAACGTGATTAGGGTCTCCATATAAAAAAGGAAATAATAATTTTAAAAAAGAGAAACGAAACAAAAGACGTGAGGAATGATTTAAGAAACGTAATACAGTAGGCTATATTTATAAATACGATGTAAATTTAAAATAAGGAATCTATAGTATAAGTTGCGCGATACAGGGGTTTCTACAACTGTAAATGCCATGGGCCCTCACTAGTTAAATTAAATTATCTATCCTGTATTTCAAGAGCAAAACAATATAGTGATTTTTTGAATTTTTTACAGAGTTATTAAATTTGACCCAAAGACTAATAATGCCACAGTCTTGATCGATGATTTACACTTTCCAAATGGGATCATTCTCTCTCATGATAAGAAATCACTTCTAATTGCTGAAACAAATAATCATAGAATCTTGAAGTAAGTATTTATTGTCTTAATTCAACTTAAATTAATATAATTATATAATATATTAAAATATATATATATTTATGACTAGATATAATCTAGATGCCAAAGCATCAGAAAAGTTGGAAGTGTTCGTTGAGGGGTTACCAGGAGAACCAGACAATTTGAGTTATGGCACAAAGAACAGCTATTGGGTAGGATTAACTTCTGGTAGAAATGCGTCCAAGCCAAATTTGATGGATTTAACTTCCCAATATCCAATAATCAAGAAAATATTTGTTGAATTTCTATATTTTGTTGGATTCTTATTTAGAAGCATCTCTCAATTTTTATATTCAGAGAGATTCAAGACGTTAGCATTTGAGGTAATCGCGACTTTTTTGTTTATATTAAACTTACGATTAATTAGGTTAAAATTAAAAGCTTATTTTAATGGGAAACCATACCTTTTCTTACTGGAATAGACAGGGAGGACAATTAAGAACTTCAGGTGTCAGTTGGGCAGAACAAGCACCTAAAAAGGAGCACAAAACTACTACGTCCACGTCGTTACTCCTGGGTAGTTTTTTTTTCTTGTTTTTTTAACTCTCCGCCCTGTGGGCACTAAGAGGGCCTCTTTTTGCAAGCCCATTATGGGTTCGGCCAGGCCCACAATGGGGCTGCCGGGTGGCGTGGGACGGGGCCCGACATATCCGAACGGACCACCCCCCGAAAAATTCCTGGGGAATTTTCAACTTGTTCGGATTCGAGCTCGGGTCCCCTAGAGCGGTAGGCTGCCACCTTGACAGCTCGGCCATCCAGCTGCTACTCCTGCGTAGTGCGAAAAGTAGTGAATGCATTTAAAGATGAAAGTAATACAGTTGTAAAAACCAGTAAATTGTCCTCCCTGTCTATTCCAGTAAGAAAATGTATGGTTTCCCGTTAGAATAAGCTTTTAATTTTAACCTTAAAATAATCTTGATCTTTGACCTAGACCTTAGGATCAAGGGTATATCTGAATGTAAAATTTCCTGCTCTTTCCATTTCCGGGGTCAAAAATGTGTGTTCCCATTGAAAAAACTGACTTGACTTCCAAATGACCTTGAAGGTCAAGGTCACGTCTGAGGTCACCAATTGCTTGCCCCTCGATATCCTACAACTTTTGTCTACACCTTTTTTCCAAAATAATGAGATCCAATTAAGATAATTCATTGTCTCAAGATAAAAAAATACACCCCGTATATATCGACTCTGATTAAACCAATTAGGACATTTCACTTAATATGTCAGACAATATGTGAATTTTATTTTATTTTCTCTCTCTGCATGGCAGAACGACTTTTCCGTTCATTTTTTGTAGCACTCTTAACTGTAAAGAATCATGCATTTAACTACCACCATAGCGAACTTCATCTTATTCCAATACCAGAACGTGAAGCTTCCATAATACTGTTTATAATAGCGGCGACGTGTTTAACAAATGAGGAAGAAACCGGAAGTAACTTACCACAACTAAGGGATCAACGGCTGATGAATTCCCAATTTAAATGTTTTATGTTTAAAAATCTAACAAACTTTTCGGTTATTCAGTTAAAATACATCATCCCCATAAAGGCATTCTTGATTCAAACCTACCTGCATGCGACTGTATTTTAAAACAAAACCTTCAGCAAAAAAATCGACTCAACATTAGGAAAAATGTCTACATTTAACAAGTGTAAAATGAATAATTCTAACGTATATTAATAAGCATTATTTATTTTTAACACTTTCCTCCATATGACCACTAAGAGAGCCTTTTAAATCACATCCATTGTGAATTGCTGGTCAGATGGCTGAGGCACTTAAGATTCAGATTACTCTTCTAGTAGACCAGCGATTGAATCCGAGCAGTCAGTAACTTTTAGGAATTTTTGGTCTGTCCTTGATACGTTAGGTCCCATCCTTCACCATCCAACTGTTCCATTGTGCCTGGCCAAACCCACAATGGAAGTAGAACCGAGTGCAATCGGAGCCACCTTGTTAGAGCGTTGATCCGACGTTGAATCATAGAATTTGAAGCTTCTTGCATAATGTAAGTTGCCCTTTTTTATGGATTGTGCTCCCACTTTTTTATAGTATGCGGGTGCTGTTGCTTAGATATTGGTTCTGTCTTCAACACTGTTGTGTATACTCCCGTTTTCTCTTCAAACAGCACTTGTAACTAAGATTTACATAAAGTTTTTTTTATACTTTTGTACGTAGATTCATAGAATAATAATAATAATAAAT